CGTCCTGCGGTCGTCCTCAGGTTGCCTCCTCCACCTCTTCCAACACCATCGCCACCACCGCGGCCGCGCTCTCGCGTGGACCGGCCCGCCCCCGCTCCGCCCCCGGGCGTGAGGGTGTTGGCGTGGGGCTCACCTGGTCCGCGCGTGTGTCCTTCAGGATGTCGTCTAGCTGCGGACGCCAGGCTGGCCGGAAGTTGTTCCGGTCCGATCTCCGCAGGAAGCGCAGGTAAGCGGACGGCTCCTCCAGCACCACGGGTCGCTTGTCGCCGGGCCTGCGGAGCGAGGGAAGGGTCACAGGACTTCCAAAGGTCGACTCCCTTGGCCCGGTCATCAGCGTCGTGGCCCGAACCTCCTGGGCTTGCTGTGCGCCGAGGACGGCGGCTGGGCCGTGAGCGAGTAGCCGATTTCCGAGAACGAGACCCTGCGCGAGGCCCTGGACGAGATGCCGCCGCCGGACACCACGGCGCGCGGCCCTCGTGGCCCTGGCGGCTCTGGCATCCGCAGCCGGGGGCGGCACGGGCCCGACAGCAGCGACGAGGCGAAGGACGACGACCCGCCCGCCGTGGCCGCGGTGCTGGGGATGCTCTGGTGACGGACGAGAAAGGCAGTGAGCGACAAAACGAGGGACAGACCTTGCGTCGGACTACAGACTTACCTGAAATTTCACAGCTCTAAGAGCCGTTCCGTAAAGACAAGGCGGCTTGTGTCAGATAAAAATGCATGCTTATTTAACTGTTAAACCGGGAAACGTTGAGCTCGTCGTAGAAAACGTTTTCATCTATAAAGAAGTCTTTTTCTCGTGATTTCCGAGAGTACTCACGATCAAAGACGCCGCGGAGCCGCTGCTGGTCTGCTTGACGCCGAGGAGGTTCGGCAGGAGCTGCGCACCGAGACTGAAGGCCGTCAGCGACAGGCACTCGCGCATCATGCGCGCCTCCGCGTTCTGGCGCTGTGGGGTAGCGTCAGCGTTAGCGAAAGGAAGTTGCGTGCGTTCTGCGTGGCGGTGTATTGTTTGGGGAGGACACCGTAAAGTCGATTTTTGGGAAAGATTCCAACGCGGGGTTGGGGGTGATATGCTGGGTGTCCCACTCCACACTGGCAAACTGGTAGACAGTAGTCCTCAGATGGCCTCAGGCATACCCCAGGTGGTATACTCCGCACAGCGCATGCGGCCAGCGCGTAGGCAACACCCAAAGTACTGCCCGGTGTGGCGTGGTACACCCGCATTTGACGCATGCGGAGAGCCCTCGACACGGCGCGGGGTGTCGGTGCCGAGGGGGGCCTGCGCGCCCAGAGTATCTCCGCACCTCTCTCTGCATCCGCGCGTCCACCTGCCGCAGCCGCTCTGCCCACCACAGCTTCCAGTCGATGTCGAACACGTTCGTCGAGAGCAGCGACATCGGCGAGCTGTCGCCGCCGTGCGAGCCGCCGTGTGAGCCGCCGTGCGAGCCGCCGTGCCTGTCGGGGCTGCGGTCCGAGTCGTGGTGGCGGTGGTGGTGGTGGTCGTGGTCCGCGGCGCCGCTGAGCGCCCGCGACAAGCCCCTCCGCGGGGACATGCGCGGCGACCGGGACAGGAGGGACTTCTGCGGCGAGGGTCGGGGCGGCGGGTACGACGGGCTGAGGCTCTCGTCGTCCTCCGGTGGCTCGCGCTCCGTCACCAGCTGAAGCTGGCCCGGGTCAGAGTTCACAACAGCCGAAAACGGCGTCGACTTGTCGGACATCGCCTAGACTGTGTTCCCCGCAAAGTCGTACCTGGTGTAGCGACGGGGTGGGCACGAACACGGACATCTTGTGGTCCGAGGTGGGCCCTTTCATCTCCCGTACCTCCGAACCCTGGCCGCCATTTTTTGTTACATTAAAATCACATTGCAAAGTATGATTTCCCTAAAACGAGCCGTTTAG